CACCGGGGTCATTCACCTATTTTGTCGTTTATTCCGATCTCCCGTCAGTCCTGTTATCCCCCCAGCGGAGGGTACTATGCACAAAGCCTATCCAATAATGCATGCCACGCCTTTCCGTTGATGCTTTCCCCTTCCTCTCGTCCGCTAGCTTGTCACTTCCTCCACCCCTTGCCCTAACCACCCAAATGAATGTTCGCTTAGAGACTTCCATTCTGGATCGACCCATCTAGATCTAAGGCCTGAAACCACCGATACCCGAATCTCTACTTACTAGAAAGACTATTCCAATGAGTATCCTATAGACTAGCTATCATATAGACTAGCGATCAGATTCCCCCAGTGTATCGAGGCTAGCCAATGGAAATTCCGGTGGTGCTTAGCAACCACCTAGATCGTGGAGGGAAGCTATACATAGTCAAAATTAATACGGACTTGGTATTCAGAGCGATATAGCTGGAATAATTATTGTGGGGGTAACCCAAATTCAATCAGGCTTCATGAAACCTAAGAAAATACTTCCCCTTTTATGAATACTGATTCCAGGGGGAGGCTAACTCCAGCCTAGGGCCCAATACAGCTTCCATGCTGGAGGCCCCACTCCCGGGATCGTATTTCCGAGAGCAATGTATTATCTGAATCGCGTGGTTAGAGTTAGGAGGTAGCATAGTCGAACGGGCAAGGACTCCGAAAACTTGAATACCAGAAATTCGTACTAGGATAGTTTCTGTATTTCTACCTACCTTACCCTCTGAAAAAGGGTTGAAGGTCACTAGCTCCTGTAGGTTTCCTCCCCCTTAACCGCAAGTCGGGAATAGAGGGGCAAAAAAGTCCCAGCTCCAGTGTATACATACACCAGCACGCCTTCTACCGGAAACGAGAAACCTACCCATTAGATAATATTTTATCTATGATATTTGTGTCAAGAGAGAAAATATCGTAAACTGGCTTCATTAATAACTGAAGCGAGCCAATCCAGAAGTTATAAATCATTTAATAAAGAAAGGCGAAGACCCCTTAGGACTATAATCCCTAAAGAGAGGATGCAGGGAGAGTGACTTCTCCAAGAACCGCATACTCCTAGACCAAGCATCACTCTTTCACACCACAAGTAGAAGAATCCAGAAAAAAGGAGGACCGCCCAAACACCAACTTCACTGTTGTGTGTAAAGCTCAAATTGAGCAACCCCGCATGATTGCGAAAGGAGCATGAGTTGCCTCAAGCCCAATGCCATTGCCGGCTTGCCAGACCGGGACGTGAAGAACACTTCACTTGAATCAAGCAGCTATCCCACATCTCTGCCGGCAAACGCAACTCCACATCCCACCCCCTAGCTCCAATACTCTGTGTTGTGCGCTCGCACATCCCATTAATCCAGGCGGCAATGGAGTAAGACGTAGGATTCGGTAGGAAATTAGGGCCTGTTCGGCAACGACCGTTCCGTTCCGTTCGTACATACAAAATAGCCGTTCGCGCCAGCGAACAGTCGCTCCATTCCTTGGGCGGCTGTCCCCCTAGCTCCCGCTAGAGACCAGATGCTCTGCAGTAACAATTGCTGCTGTGACTCCTGGCGCCATAGCAACTACCCACTGGCAACACCGGTGCCAACCCTATACTACACCAGAAGTGGTAGCACTACACAGTAATATTAGCGATTTACCTTATGGGGTGACCTCAAGTAGGCTGGTTCATGAGTGAGGAATACAGTGGGGCAACGGCATCCTCCCACTAACAAACCGGGGCATTCGGGGTAACCAAGAGCCCCCCAAAATATCTAGCATTCAAGACATTCCACAAATAGCTTCAATTACATGTGGGAATTACCCACACAGATTTACAAAGCTCGTACCAAACAAGTCCCAATTTATCACGGCTGGAATTGACATAGCCTCCTCACCACAGCCCTGACAGGAATCTTTTTTGCGCGGGAACCAGGAGATTGTGAAGCCGCCACGCCATCCGGAATAGGTCGCAGAGCAGAATTGACACCCACATTCCAAAAACCCGAGCAGAAAAAGTGAAGAGGCAATATGACCAGCGTATCAACTCATTCTCACATCAATGCCAAACCGCCCATTTTATTGTGTCACCCGGCTTGTCCCACTATTTTCTTCACTCGAACCAGGGCACCCCCGGAACTACGAGGGACACCATCGCGAGGCTATCTACCTGCTGAACCCCAGAGATCCAAGGAAAGCACCAGCTTTCCCCTAGTCGGTTTGATCCTCCTTCATCCAGGTAGTCAAACGAAAAACCGCGCCGAACAGACCCTCTGCACCCCTACATCCCTTTCCCGTTTCTATTTGGCAACACTAATGACAAATACACAGCGCCCTTGTTGGGAAACTCGACTCTCCTCGCCATTCAGAGAATCCTAGAGGCCAAAAGAAAAACACGATTTTCTTACGAGTGATAGGACATGATTAGAATAGAACTCTTAATAAAACTCCCGATTAAGATAACCGAGGCCAGAGAGAAAGTAATAAAAATTGGGTTTGTGTCGCGTGTCTATTATCAGTTACCATTTTCTCTTACAACCTATCGGCGACCGAATCCCTTTGTATAATAGAATATCACCTCGCCTCTGAGTATGCTCTTTCCTGTATGCCGTTCAGCCATCACATCAATCAACAGCTCCCGAGATCACTGCCGCTACACGCTATCCCGCCCCCCTGTCCTGCGCTTTCCGATATAATATTTGGATCCTTGGTACCTCCTCTCTGATATCGTCTCGGTGCTGGCATCCCCGATTACATGCCGGGAAAAGAGTAAGACTGCCCCAGTCACTTACAGTCTACCGTAAATACATAAACAAGCTCCCTTATTCCCAGCCGGCTAACATAAGGAAAGACCAGGAAGACATTTCTCGGGCACCGGTGGTCCGCAAGAGAAATGTCCCGGACCAATAACGTAGTCTATCCTTCATCGAAACCCCCCCTTCTTACACAGAATGCAGACTAGGCCAGTAACGGAGACTCCCATTTACTTCCCAGCCATGTCCAGCAAACTGACCTTGTGACCCAACGAAGGGAAAAAAAGTCCGGCTCAATCGACAGCGGACAACCCCCGCAAGGAATATGTAAAAGAAAGAAAACTTGGAACGCCCAAGAAGAAATCAAGGAAACGGACACGGTACTAACTTACTGGCTCTTGGCCGAAAGGGGAAGTTGATACCATTCGAAAGTGCACTTTATTCAGGCTCAGTCGCGGGTCTGCCCCGCTGCCGCGACCACAACCCAATTCCAAAATATTTGTATCCCCTACCGACCCCACCAATTATCAACGTCCAATTAGCCATGCAGGCGACATCAAGCTAGAATTGAGTTATTTGCGTGCGGGGGTGGGCTGAGATCCAGGGCCTTTGAAGCCAGGAGTGACCCACGATGGGCCGGCGAGTTGTCAGTCTCTATCCCGCAATCCACCGCATCAGCAGCGCCTTCGTCCGGGAATCCTCTTACTGGCGCTCGCCGTTTTTCAATTCGGGGGCCCTCACTGACTGCCGGTTTATGTCAATGGAAGTACCGTACTGCCTCGAGTTGTCCTGCCCAAATCCCGCACGAATACGAGCCCAGAGCTGAGCTCGCCGTCAACCATGGATTATTGGCAGTCATTGAAGTTCTCCCACGTGCGGCGAAACCTTTAGCGCACTTTTGTCCTCTTTTTTTCTTCCGGGACGCACAAAGCATCCCTTCTCCCGCCGATCCGAGCCCAATCCGAGACATGGCCAAACCCCCAACCCCAACTGCCGCCACGCCAAGCGTTATTTTTCTGTAATCCTCACACGCATGTTCTAGGCTTCCGCCGCTCCCATCGGGCCACATGCGACAACGTAACTTGCGGCATTCATTTTTAAAAAAAAGTGTAGCACACGTGAGATGCTCCAATTGTGAAATATTCAGGATCAAAAAAATTAGGGCCCCGTAGGAATACTGTCGCGATGAGCCTCCTTGATTCCTGCCTCCCACCTTGAAAAATTCTCTCGGACGATGAGCCGCACTGTTAGTTACTTTCTCTCTTCCCCCCCCCGCATCCACACCCCTGGTCGAGTGGGAAAAAAAAAAAAGGAATGAATGGGCGACGTGTGACGCCGTGCCAGGCAAACGAGTCCCCAGCGATGCCAGCAGTGGTTTCTGCCTAGTGGATAATCACCTTCATCACCTTCCCGATTAGGATTGGAAGGCACAGATATCGAATACCCTCACTCCCATTCCCGGAGGAATAGCGGTAGACCGAAAAATTAGAATCATTTCGAATATCGTAGCCCGGACACTTTCTCCAGTACTACCTAGTGGCACATCGCTCTCCCAGACCGCTAAACCCCAAGAATCTGTGTAGCACAGCGAGCTATCGGGGACAAACGATTCGGGTTTTGTTAGGGAGAAGTTTTTCGCGGCATTTCATACGGGGCAAGGGTGCATCCTTATTACCGAGTTCATAGACAGAGGGGAGTGACTGTATATTGAACCAAAACAAAAGATCGAGCCGTTAATGTATGCCCCCAACGCCCATCGCCCACCCCAAAGACTTTTGTCGGTCTCAAAGGCGGGTGACATTCGGATCGCAAGGACCGTCCGCGCCAAATTTCAATCCAGTCTCAACAACCTGAAGATACACGCACACAAAAATTGATGGAAGTTTCGTCTTCCTATGGATCTACAAGCACCACCAGATTGTTTACATTATGGCGGCATTCCCCCAAAGTTTACACCGCCAAGACAAACACGTGCGCAAAGGAAGTTGACTTGTGGGGGGGGGCCCTTACCCCACACAAGTCGACAACAAAGCAATTGTCAGGACCTCTCTTTCCAAGTGTAAGCGACGGATCATGGGGCGGGAAAACCTCAGTAAATCTTAATGAGCAGACCAAGACCCGCCTATGTAGAGTTTGGCACGCCGGGATGGCTTCGGTAAGGTATGATACTTTGAGTAGAGAGACCCAGCATATAAGCACCCCAAAATAAATACAATCAAAGTGGGAAAAATCATAAATTTCCTCATCCTTCATGTCCAAGTGAAGCCCCTCCCCCTCCCCCTGCGAAAAAAAAAAAAAATCCTGATCTCCCCGAGGCGGTCGGACCGACTCAACAAACCCAGACAGAAACGAGCTTCCGGGCAGCCAACACGGGAGATAAATAGGGATAAGAGTTACATGATTGCGTATCTTACATAACCTTTGATTTATTTATTCTTTTCACAAATCCGCTTGCCCGCCATTTCCCTCATCTTCTTCAGACAGGTCCCTTTGCGTTCGTGCTTGCGGAGATTATCTTTCCTGTTGATGTGAATGCCGCACTTCCCGCATTTCCCTCCCGTGCCCCCCTTGTGCTTGACTAGGATATGGCGCTGCAATTCCGAGGTTCGGCCGAAGTCTTTCCCACACTCCCGGCAACTGTGACGGCAGCGAGTTCTTGAACTCCTCGAACGTTGGGGCTGGGAGCTGTTCATTTTGTTTAGCAAGATGCCGTTAACTCAGGGATACAATAAGAAAGGGAGGAGCATCATAAGAAAGAAAGTCGTTGTCCGTACATTTCCTTTGGGAGATGGGGTGTGTGGAGAGGAGGGCACGGGTGATTTGGTGGTGGGGTTTCCCAAATCCCTCCCCCAAGCGTCGCATTGACAACAGCGGGTAAGGCGATTCCAAAATCTAGTCCAAGGAGTTTCGGGTCGATAAAGTTACTGTGGGTCGCGTTGGGAAACCCGCTGGCTTGTGTGCATGTGCGAGCGATATCATTGCACAGTTGTAACAGGGAAGCTTTCACACTCGTTAGTTGAAGATCAATGAAGATTATCTTTTTACCTCCACTTAGTCTAGAGTCGGGTTACCATTTTGTTCATAGTCCTGAAAACAAATTTCCTGATTCTCCACGTTCTCCATCCTCACCAGCGCCATTCTCATATCCCAAGGGAGTAGGGGTACATCGTTGCCCATTGGAGGGCAGTAATCAGCTGGTAGGGGGCTAGTTTGGTAGGGGATGTTCAGTTGATGAATGTTCATATCTTGCGCTTGGATTTCGGGGATTGCGACACTAGGCAGTTCAGCTCTTAGAAGTCCTGGAGCCATTAATTGATTGCAAGCCCCACCTGTAATTATATAGAGGAACTATCTCTCCTCTTAATACGTACTACGGCCACTCCAGGGAAGAGCAGCGCTTTTTTTTGTGTGGGTGCCCAATGTAGGCTTCTATCTCTGGAAAATGCTTGGCGTCAGGATTGATTTGCAAGTTCTTCAGCAACCGCCTGTCGCTCGTGCCGCGCCTTCCACCGTGGAGCTCGCTCCCAGGATCACACCCAACTCATCACGTGACCAGCACCAGGACACAAACCGTAAAAGCCAAGGACTTTCCCGTGAAGATAGAGAGCCAGGAGGTAAGATTATTCAACAACCCAACCACGACAGAATACGGTGATAACACATTTTTCCCCCCCTGCTGCCTAGCTACTAATGCGGGACAAATTACCTGCAGGCTGTTGGGAAAGAAAGGAGAAACCGAGTGTCCTGAGAGAATTTCTCCAAAAGTTCACGCTATTGGTTCCTGCGCCTTTTCTCAGAGGACCCATCGCCAGAATATCCAACGCTCAAACAAGAATTACCACGGCGAGCATCTGCATTAAAAAAAACCTAGAACAGTCTAGGAGCGCTCCAGAACTGCCCTCCTGTGTGTTGGTCAACTTTTTCCGCCAATCGCATACAATTCTCTAAAGACACGAGTGTTAGTTATAGTTCCAATTTTCAGTGACACCCGAGTACTGCATTTTCCTGCTTAAACTCACCCCCGAAGGCGCATCAAGGTGTAACGGCGCCAGTACCCTAGAACCTGCCCCCATGACACTTGACACCGACGGACATTTCACGCAGCTGGAACAACGCCTGCGAATTCAATAGAATCACCATAACCCCTCCCAGAACGTCCTCCGAATTGGGTATCAGACTTTATTTTCGGAGAGATTACCCTTTGATATTATGATCTGTGCTGGACGATCGTAGAAGTAGGAGCCTTCACATCCTCCAGGGGATGGGGAGCTCTGGGACTAGTGTGATGTGGGGGAAACAGCTTTAGCTGAATAATCAGCCAGAGAATCCCTGGTTACGTACAAGTACCCGTATAATTTATTGGGATTGCGATCTCATCTCCATCCTCGGGTACGGGTTGGCTTTGCCCCTCGAGAATCACGGCAAGTTCATCTCGCGGTAAATGCCCTGCTAAACATAGGGCGTTCAATCGTGAACCGCAAGTACGGTTCACACATGCGTTGGGTGTAAAATTATGCGGCGCCCCGAAAACTTTCTCAACAGGATCCACGACCCACGTGGCTGTGATAAGTTTTAGCAGGTCTGATAGGCCCCTGCTGTCCCTTCAGTGGCTTCGCTGGAACCTCTCAGCGAAGAGAAGTCGCGATGCGACCGTACGGTATTCAATCGGCAAATTGGGCATCGCCTGGGCAAAGGTGATCTCCCCAGCTCGAAGGCGGTCCAGGGTGGACCTGGTCGAACAGGAGATCCAAGAAGCCCATCTGGCGAGTCAGTATAGTGCCGTCCAATCAAAGCCTGCGCTCCACCCAAAGCTCCTGGAACACCTGAACATACTGAATTGTTAACATTTGAGAAAAAACTCTAATAATAACTCCTCTGGTAAATTTCCAAAGAAACCCTCTTAAAAGCATCTCGCGATTGCTATCTTATCTTTACGTTATCAATGCACCCAAAACCAATGGGTGGCATGGTGTTGCACGGGGTCGTGGATAGAGGTATGTAGGCTCTTGAGTTCCCACTCAGGCTGCAACAGCACCTCCCTGGGGGGCATTAGGCGAAAACAAGAGCCATACATCAATTCTACTTCATTGTCCAGACAACCTTACCGGAGGGATTTGCCATATTCCTTCTCAAGGAGAGGCTATTCCCAATTTATAACTTTTGCATCAAGTTGGCCATGAGGGCAAGCTTTGGTCGTCCCGAACCACACGACATACCCTGCACGCTGCCGAGCCGTTCCCTCAAGCTAATTCCTCGCTACTCGAGTACCACAATATTACAAATCATCGTAATCTCTTCGCGCGTCATCCGCTCAACCCGATAGGATATCGACACTAACACAGCAGCCTGAGGAACACCCACTGCCTACGGAACCGCATAGAGTAGCTATCACACCAAGCGCGAATCCACCCATTTTACTTCCCCACTGTGCTCAAAGCTATAGCTCCGAAGACGCAGCTCATACTCGAGTACCTAAGATACATACTATGCGAGACCCACACTATGACTCCTCGATTATTAGAATTAGGAAAAAGGAGGAGAAACAAGCGACCATTAACCCAGAGGAAATCTCTTGAGCTGCTATGAAGGTGGAAATTGTCCACCACTCCCCGCCACTGTGCCGGTCGACCAGGACCTGCCCTCCTTCCAAAGCCCCTGAAATTCCGGACATACTGAATTATGCGCATTCGAGATGACCCCTTTAAAAACAATTCCCCTAGTGAATTTATAAAGAACCACCTCCGAAAGTCCCTAATGACTCCTGTCTTATTTCTTCAATTATCAGTGCATTCCGAATTGACCAGAATCGCTTGCATGTTGCAGAGTGCACCCGGCGAAGCGGTGCAACATCTCCAACCCCGGTTCGGGCCGCAACAACTTCCTGCATGACCTTAGGTGAAAACAAAAACCATAAACCGGCTCTAATTTATCATCTAAATAACTTTACCGGAGGAGATTGTAGCGCACCTTCTTATTGAGGGGCTATTCCTTGGGTCGAGCTGGCCTGGAGGGCAGGTTTTGGTTGTCCGAACTCTAAAGTGATGACAAGGCTTTGGACCACCCGCTTGGCACATGACTCAATACCGGTATTGGCCATGGTTTGAAGTTTGAATATCTGAGAATTCGCAGCAACGAGCAAAATTGCTTATGAACCTGTGCCTCACAGACACTGACACAGGCAGTGCAAGATTCTCCACCCTCTTACCAGTACAGTACTCGTACGGGAGATAGTTTTCATCGAGTTTTTCCCTTCTGGCATCCGGTAATGTACTAACCTCCCTGTGTCCAGGATGCTGCGTGGCAGTGGCGGTAATGGTTGAAAACCAGATGGAGAGGAGTAAAATGGGATTGTTACGAATTCGACCTTCACACTTACCCCTCCCGCACTACATCGCTACTCGGAATTCAGGATTAACCTGGAATTCACCAGGAGGCCTATCATCTGGATTCGGCAGGAACTAACCGGCATCATCGGCGGCCGGCGTTCACAGCCCTTGGATTCGTGGGGTGATACCGGTATGGGCCTCTGTGCGTTAGATAATCTGTACTGTACTGTACCGGTCGAGGCACTGCCTCCCAGGACAGCTGAGCTCGGATACATCTCGGAGAATTTTCGGGTCCACACCACTGCGCACATCCTTAGCCGAGCACTTGCACTTCTTACTGTGCATTTTGGTGTAACCATGCTCTCCATCGAGCTAGCCATTGCGATTGCAGTACCATCGCAGCATCGCCAGTCATGAAAAGCCTTTAGTAAGTTATTACGGAGGTTTCCGGTTGCTGTGTAATGTGGGGCACAGTACTCCAACGAGCGACAAGAAGTGGCAAAGAAAACTAGGGCAACAGAGAGCCTGCATGCTTAGGTTTATTGGTAAGATTCTTGAGGTTGACCGAATTTGTCCATCAACGTCCGTGGATACCTATGTAGTGCAATGCAAGGATCTGCGGGAGACAATATCCCACGAGTACTGCGGATAGGAGGCGCAATGCTGAACGATTTCCAGGAGCCTACCACACCTTCATAGCCAGTGCCGAAGCAGAAGCATCTGCTCGTACCGTAGCCACGAACCGCAGCCCAGAAGAGTAATGCGATCCGTGAGAGAGCCAACCCGATCTGAACCTCAGTTTACCTACGGTACCTGTACGAGTACTGCGCCCATGTGAACCGCGCGGGATCCGTACGGCAAAACTATCGTATCATACTGCAATCCCCTCAGCCTACCTGCAAAAAAAAGGAAAGAAAACAAAAGAACGAGAATCAAAATCTAGCGAAGCCTGAGCCCCGCGGGGGTCACTGTAAGGCCGATTCCACGACATGATACCACGGTACATCCTCCGCCAATCCGTGCATCAATGCCCCACAGATCATCCCCCAGTACCCCGAACAGTCCAGAAAAACAAGAAGGAAAATTTGAGGTAGAGAAAACACATGCAAATCTATGCCACCTCACGTAATACTTTTTTTTTTGTTGACAGCCGGTGAGGGGAACAAAAGTGATCCTTCGGGCCCGTTCCTAGGGTCAGGCACCAGTGTTACCGAACAGGGTTGTTCGGTTTGCCTACCAAAAAAGCCTAGCTTGAGGATCTAGTGCTTCGCCTTTCCTCATTTTTTTTTTTCATGTATCAATGTTTCTTGGTTACCAGCAAGGTACTTGGTCCGAGCACTTTCGGCCCGCTAGCTCCCGCCCATAGCTCAGTACCTGTAAGTTACGCAAGCACGAGTATACTATACCAACGTACCAGCCCCAGCATGTGCGATTTTCAATAAAAATGACAAAGAAAAAAAAATTCGCGAAAAATAATGTAAATGCTTGAGGAGTTAGTTAGGTGCTTTAACCCCTTTTTTTTCTTTCATTTTTCACTCAGTCTCAGTTCAAGAGAGGTCCCGCCATGCCGGTACGGTACAGGAAATTCTCTCTCTGGGACATCCGGACACCTTGGCGCCAAGAATCCGCGCTTTTGGCTTGCCTTGGCATACGTGTTCGCATACTGCACTCACGGAATTCGCGAATAGCAAAGCCACAGCGTGAAGGCAGGCGGGCGCCCGAGCGGCCAACCCAAACGACAACCGAAGCGAGGCAGGACACACCCTACGGTACAGTAAATCGGCAGAACGAAATTGTCGTACCAACGGTTTTGTCCCACACCACGGTCGAAGAGGGTTAGAAACAGGCGATACAGGCCCAGAAAGAAGCCCTCCGGATCGTAGAAAAATCTGCTAAAAATCGAGGGCCATGTTCAGACCCTCGTTTTTCCTTCTTCCGGGACTAATAGTGGATGTTTTATTCCAAAGTAGCCTCGTTATTGGGCAGAAACCCCGCCCAGCCCCGTCATCGCAGGACGTTTATTTAAGCTTTGCGGGGCTGCAGTAGTCCACGATCGACCCAGATTCTCGGTTTGGGATGAGGTGGGGTAAGGCTTTCGGGTCTAACAAGGTTGGCTTGAATTATCCCTCAGTCGCCGGTTCCGGAGTTGACGTGTGGGACCGTTTCACGATGCGGGGTTGGACGAAAGGAGATGGTGGTGTCTGGAATTATTGGCTTTCCTAATAATTGTGCTTCTTACGGACCAGTTGGGCTGAAGTTGATGCTCGGAGGTTTTTAGTTTGGCCAGAAATGGTAAGCCATCCGGTTGTCCGGTGAGCGAGTCGCCAGGTGTCTTATTCCATCCGCCATCAGTGGCGCCCTAGTCCAGGATCGTCGTTTCTTGGTCCTTTCGGAGCTCCGTTTATGGAAATGACCTTCACACCACCAGTAGAGACTTACATAGGATGTTTATTGCAGCAGGCATCCGTAGTGAAATTCTTTTCTGTTCGCTAATTCTTTTGGGGTTGGTTTGTGCCTCTAACGCAAGCACTAGCAGTGCTAGTCCGATCTGCACAGCAAGAGATCCACGTGTCAACACCTTCGACAACCCGCCAAGGGAAAAGATTTTGCTCCTCTCACAATATCGGTACTTAAAGGGACAATTTCCTGGGTTTGAAATGGGATCGCTGAACTGGCCGTGCAAGGGCCATCCTGGACGCCCCAAATGTAGATTAATAATGGAACGTTGCATGGCCCAGGCGTACTAGTAGACTGGTACAGTAGGAGTATCCAGCATGTGGAACACGAACCTAGGGGGGAAAATTTTGCATACCAACTTGTCTGTGCACACCTGAGTGCCCATGCTGAACATAGTCTCAAATGTTTGGGCCCTTCATGTTGGATGCGACAGCGGAGCAGCGGGAATACATGGTCCCCGTTGATTGGCCCCAGGGGCTACGAGTAGAATTATCAAGACTCGACCAACCAGTAGCGAATTTTGTATTTGTGACGGGGTGTGTATTTGGGTGCTCTGCGATTGTACTGTGCATGCACGGGGGCTTCTACCCGTGGAGTGAAACGACCTATTTGCAAAAGAGAAACGTGCGATTCCCTTCGCAACAAAAGGAACAGGGGAATAATGTGCCTCCACTCTTCAGGGCTACAATAGTACTCATTCTTAGGGAGATACTACTTCTGATTTGAGAAATCGCAAGCTCGGACTCCTTACGATTCTATCTGAAGGGCCGGGACAAAAACAAATCCGATAAGATTTAATTATCACGATACCCCCAAATTATCCAACTGAAACTCCGCCAGGTTGTGCGCCATCGTCAGGGGGGCGCCGCAATATGGTGAGAAAGATTTTGCAGTAGCCAGTGCTCATACTATATACACTGATGTACCGCATGATTTGTCAAAGTAGTGGGGGGGAGAGGCAACAATGACAAGGGCTCATTTTTTTGTCTGGAGGTATTCATATGCAGGCCGACATTACTCATCACTTGGGATTATCATTTTTAGCTTCTCTGTCGACAGGCATCCTATTGAATAGGGGATTTGGTCGCCCTGTCATTGTTTGGCAGGAATCCTATCAGCTTCCTGAACCCATCGCTAGAAAGGGATAACTATCCTACCTCGGCTAATCTCTATGTTGTCTCCCCCCACAAAAAAAGGCTGGATAATATCCACCATGTGGTCCGCCTTTGGTTTTAATTGGATGCCCGCAGCCACCCCCACCTCGGAAAAAAAAATCTTAAAAGGATCTTGATATCTATTCTGTTCTGAAGAAAGGCACGCTGGGCTTTCTATCTTAAAAGGCGACTATCTACCGACGACGCACGACCGTGCGAAATATAAGCAGAAAGGTATTTACACAAATCCTCCGACCAAGGTTTCTATAAAGCTACTACTCTCCACATTTTCTAGAACCCTGATTTCGATAGTTATCAGCCCCCCCGAGACCGGGTGAACTACCGTCATTCCCTGTTTTTCCTCTCTCCATCTCCACTCAACCCCTCCCTCAGTTTTCGCGTCCACGCTAGGCGTATTCACAACCCACTCTTGCTCATGGCCATCGTTAACCTTCACTAAACATCTTTGTCCGGAGAAGTGATATGCAGGGACAAATATCTCTGTTGTACGCTCTATCTCTTTTTCGGATGTGTTTCCAGCGAATTCCATGTGGAAGTTCCTGCTGTCCATCAGAAAGTGAGAAGAAATTAACTTCCCAGCCGTTTTAGCGGGATACGGGCGAAGAAGTGCCGGCAGCAGCCTTCCTCCAAGGTAGAGATTCCCGAAGCTACGAGCCCGCGTCAGGGGTACTCCTTCATTGGTTGGGCCAAAGTGTGAGGGCTCGAGAGGGACCTCAACAGTACTCGGGCTATAAAGGGAGACGAGGGAGAAATCTTCGCTATTCCATCCATCGCCAGATTGGATCGCAGCACCCGTTTCGTTGGCCGCTGGTGTATCTGCTCTGGTTGCAGCAGTTGAGTGGGAGAGTGTAAGGTTCCATACGGTCCAGTTGAGGAGTGATTTTTCCATTCCGTGGAAGATGGAGTTCAGTTGTGAAAGCTGCATGTGGACATCTCCGGTAACATATAAATTTTGCCCATTCATATCGAATGGAATCCCGGTTTCCCCTATGAGAATTGGGGTGTGGGAGGATGGTGAGGGGCGGAAGGTAGACAAATGTGAGGTGAATCGGGCGAAATTGGTTGCATAATTAGCAGTAAGTCCTTCCCGGCCAAAATAAGTATGTTTAAGAAGATTCCGAGAGCCCTGTAACAGTCAATACAGTCTCAACCATGCTAGGCACCAATAAACTTACACTAGCGAGTGATAAAACATCAAAGGTAACACCATACCAAAGGCTTTTTTCGTATAGAACACGGATATCGTACCAATGTGGTGAGTAGCATATGTTCTGCTCTGCCGGTTTTTTTGTTTCGTCATCACCCCATACGGGCGGTCCGAGATTGGGGACCGGTTCAATAAACATCCACCTACCCGCGTTGTATCCTTTGACTGCATCCCCGACACTTCGCATAAATGAGCGAAGGAATGGAACGTAGCAATCCTTCTCAAAATCTACTTCACTACCCGTGAGAGGATTTGTCATGAAATAGCTATCTCCGCGAGATCCCAACTTGACTTTTCCGTCTTCGACGGTAAATACACCCTCTTCTCGCCAGACATCCCTCCTCCCCGGTAGCCACGCAGATTTACATTCTTTGTTAAGAACTTCACTCCTTGACCTCCTCGAGGGATGCGGCCACGACCTTGAGTAGTATCCTATTGAAGTTGGGATACCCGCAGCTAGTGACATACTTTCCAGTGCATTAGGCATATATCCAAGATGCAAATCGGTATTTTCATTGAACCGATGCAGACTGGGCAATCCAATGTACCCGGGGTGAGGTTCGTTCATGGCGTCAAATCCCAAGATGTTTGGTAGATCTCTCAATCGCGAGGCGAGATGGGAATATGCCCTCACATAGGCTATACGAAGTACTTGGCCGATGTTCTTGGCCTGGAACTCTTGAATTGGCCCCTCATAGATTGCTGAGGGCGCAAATATCTCGCCGGCGAAAAAGAGTGTAAACATGGTCGCGGGGCCGAATTTGGAGTAGTTAGTAGGCCAAAGACGACCAGAGGGGGTTGAATAATGACCACTGGTCCCTGCAGAATCGAGAGCTGCTGAGCAAGTAGCAGGGAAGGCAGAAGGATCAAGCCCCGCGAGATGGAATGTCCACAAGGGAGCACCAGAGCCCCCGGTGAAACGGGACCACTAGATTATCTTAGAAGCGCTTTCTCCGCCGGGAGCGACTTACATACCACATCCTGGTGACAATCAATGAAGACTAATAATCCAACTTCGTTGGCTTTCTCTAAGATTACTCTCAGAAAGTCGATATACTCATCGTCATATTTACCCCTATCGCCGCATCAGCGCCAAGACCCAGCTCCGGAGGGGGGGGCACCGTGAAAAGCACCAAGAACCACGGTAACTCACATTTCTCTAGGTTCCAAAGCTTCCCAGCACACAACCATTCTCACAACACCGACACCCCAACCCTTGAGCCGACACCACCAGGCCTTGGCTTCGTCCGCCGATCCAAAAGGTTTTCCAACATAGCTCACGTTGTCATCGTAGAATTCAGGTGTTCCGGCAAGGGGATTATTTTGGGGATATTTCGCGTCGCCAGAAACATTTATCCCGCGCAACAGGATGGTGCGTCGGTGATCATCCGTAAAGGCATTGGCCGATGGGTGTGTACTGATTGAGGAGGGATCAAACAATGTCGCCGAAGGGAGAGAAGTCGGAATAACGACCGGTCGCGGGCGATTAGGGGAGTTCATACGGTGGGAGTACACGCGATGAGCAGTAGATAAGGGGGTGGGCATGGGGAGAGGGTGTGTGAGGTTGATGAATACAAGTTACAGTCTTCAACGCGGGCACGACGAAAACACGGGGGCGACGAACAGGGAGCAGTAACAGGTATTGTTTAGTTACCCTACCTTGACAGACTCGTGCCCCCGTGGGCGACTGGAGCTCATGCGTCCATCGGAAACTGGGAGCAGTCGCGCTTAGCCAAATGTCTGCCGTCTAAACAAGCTTTTCTGACACTCGGGCTAACGGGATGTGTGAAAGCGGCTGCTAAAAGGATGGGTTCATCCCTGTCATACCGGTACCGTTAGCAACCACACTCACCCGGAAATCGGGGCCCCGGCTTCCACACCCCGCACCCATCTCCGGCTGGCCGGGTGAACTATGGCGCTCGGGAAATTCTCACATGGAACTTTCGGGTCTTTGAATTAAAGGCGACCAAGCTCCTCTTTCGCCGCCCGAATCAGAGCCCTGGCACCTCAGAGCCTAGGCATCGGCCATTACCCCTAAAAAAAAATGGGGGGGTCTAGAAACCAGAGGATCCATAAAATCTTTGTTATAAGGCCCAACCGGTATTCCTCACGTACAGAGGTTATTTTAATTTCTGAACCTTGTAAATTTAGCTACTCAGAAGCCACTCCGAAGAATCTCAACCTCTTCTTGATCAGAGGTATTATTATTGTCTAGCGACTAACTCTATTCGTACACCGTATTTGATGAAGGGTTAATGAAAAGGAGATCCAGCTCAACCCCCAGAATCAAATATCTCGGAATCTCGGCTGTTCAACAGCACCGGCAGCCGAGGGGGGCGACATGAATCGATAACTGGCCGTGGCTCGGAAGGGTTCCGAGGTATCAATGTGTGCATCTACAGAGTGTAGGGATGGAGGTGTGTGAGGAGAGGGATGATGGGTCTTTGCTAGCTACGAAGAGGCTGTGTAGGGGCGGAGATACATGACTGCCAAGCTCCACTTGGCCCTGACCCAATACCCTAACGATCATGAGGATAACCTCCAGTCACCTTCTCCAACACTGAGGGCATGCGGGAATAAGAACGAGCAAAACACGAAAAAAGTAGAGTTCTATAGGAGGAATTTTTCATGAATAGAATATAGTACGGGGCGGATACTCTTGGAGGGGGCGAAAGGCGATCGCGGTTCGCAGAAAATTGGCAAGTGCCGCTTGCTCGAGTAATTGGTGAAGGAGATGGAGAGTCCGGCAAAATAGTGGTAGTGAGCACGCTGACACTTTTTACTGCTCCTACCCCGGTCCTAAGCCCTCGTGACAAGGGAATTCAGATCGGTGATATTTTCTAATGCATCCATGGCTGCAGGCGTGGACTCCACAAACCCGACCAGACTTAGTTGGTTGGGCGTTGCGGTACATCCCAAACATCAGCGTGACACAACATATTGTGCCTTCCCAGGCACCACTCGCCACAAGCATATTTTGGCTACCACCCAACAACCAAATATCCAATTCACCCCCCCTCTCCACCCCCCCGGGGGCTTCCCGGAAATCTGCTTTCGTGTTTGGCACTCTGACCAACTTGGCTGGAAGTCCTTTTATAATTTTCCTTGCATACCCCTTCACCGCCGGCTCCATCCATGTTGTGCATCGCGGAACCCGCGGATATTCTAGCCTGCAGAATATGTGTCGAGAAGAGGACGCCTTTCGGTATAGAGGGAATTAAACGGCACTAATACCTCGGATTCCTTGGCTGCGACTACAATTTTCTCGGCAGATTACGTCGCGCATAGGTACTGAACAATTACAGTGGTCGAACCGCACAACTTGCAGATTACGGGACTATGATACAGACATCTATCGGCTTGTCAACTAGTACAAACCCAAGTTAATTTGTACCTACTTGCAGCCCGGATGTCGCTCGATCTGTTGGATTCCAGCTCCAACCCTCGTGGGGGTTTGCAGTTGCGTAATAAAAGTTTTGATACTTGATAGTCAGTCTCTTATCCCCCCCTCCCCGGCCCCCGAGATACATACACCACCGTTGTGGGGTAAGATGTGGTACTGTGCCGCACCAGATGGCGTATTTTAATCCCTGCGATGGAACGCACGAGCCATTTCTAGCAGGCGTTTTAGCGCATTCGGGGGTAGATAATTTTGATAGGACGGGAGAGGGGGTAACGGACGGGGTGGGACAACGAACTGCCCTACCAAATTGGACGTTTGCCACTAGATATCCTAGTTTATTGTTTGCGTCGTCCCCTCCCTATCTTTTCCATCACTCACCGAGGGTTTGGTGCCTCAATCGATCAGTTCAATGAGTTATTTGCAATATGGCGTAGAGATTTACCGAGTAGTAATGAGCTCGCAAATTCACGAGGCGGCGTAGCAATCGCAATCGCCGCATCACCATGAACGAAGGAGGCAATACAACTAAGCTGGGGTAGTTTCCGGTCTTGCGCGTATATGGCTACATGTATTCCCTATTTACAATGCAATTCCATAGCGGCCAGAAGCGGATGGGCTGGATCAGGATCTACACGGACACCCGCAGCGGAGTGGCAACTCGCAGAGCATTCAACAATTTCACATATATCGCAAAACCCAGCTCTATCCACCATCGCAACACAGTAAGGGTACAGCGTTCAACCCCCTCATATTTCCGATACGTCCCGTGGTGAATACTGTAAGACCCATTGGTAGACAAAATTGACCTTTGTGACGAGCCGAAATGTGAGTGGTTTGCCAGTAGCAAGGGGGCCACCACAGCTGAAGAAATGCACACCAGACCCAGGCAGATCATTGGTGAGTCCTGAGCCAGCAGGTCCCAGAGGTGCCTCCGCCCCCACACTATTTAGTGCCAGGTTATCCGTCCCACTTTGTATCGAGCGAGTGATGAACTGTGATGCCGGGCTCAGCTCTGTACCACACCCCCGCAGGCGCAGTTCTTGGAGCGCCAGATCACCTTTTTACTCCAGTTTAATATATTAGGCTAATGGGCAGAACTTAGCGTGCATTTGTCATGAGGGCCCAGCGATGACACGGAGCCCTCAGAGAGAAGGAGTCTTCCCAAAATACTGTTTACAATGTAGGAGAAAGGAGTGATATTCATAAAAGGCGATGTAATAATCGGGGGCCAGACTAGGTCAGAGACAGCGATTCAGTATTCAGTGCCGATGCATATGCTGCATGTTGTTATCAACTGCAATTCCACAACCGAACGCCCGACTTGAATACCCTCGTAAGTTTAGGGACGTGCAGTTTTGTTGGTCCTTTTTTCTTTCCCAGACCCCACGAGACCCCGGTCAGTTGGCTTTAGGATGTTGTCTTCTATGATTGGCATACCTACTGCCGTGCATGCGCCTTCCGACCCGGTTCACTGTTTTGTTCGAAGATCTTTTTCTTAATGTGGACAGACCCTGCATGGTAAAGCGCAATTATTGGATAGTTCCGCCTGCGGATTTTCAGTTTCTCCATAGCACTAGCAGCTAAAATACAAAGGGAATTAACCTTCGGTATATGGGTAGAGGAAGCGCAACCGGATTTAGTGATATTAAAACAGTGGAATGAACTAGTTTCGCGCGATAAGCCCGTCAAGTGATTGCGCTGGGAGCTGAGGTCTGAAAATTCCTCTTTCGGATCCCCGGCCCTTTGGAGATGAGGTCATCCCAGAGCATCCTTATCGATTGGTTAAGAGGACCACAAACTGCATAATATTATGAACCCCGCAGCCCCTGGCTAGAAACGCCTTCAGGCGTTCCCCGCGGACCCCGCGCCAACATCCTGATAACGAACGGGAGTCTTGACAGTAGGAAATGGACACAGGGAGGCCCGGTTAAGGGGGGTGACCCTACTATTGCCTGTAGGCGCAGGAAGAAGAAAATCCATCCAAGTCCGGACCCATTCATCCGTAATCAAGTCACACTCAGCACGACTCGAATTGCGATTCGAACCACTTCCGAGCGTTCGCCAATGGGACCATGTGAGTGCTGTTGGGGGGATCAGCTCTGGTATCTGCGAGCCCCACGCTCCCTCTTTCCTTCGGCTCTCTGGGCAATACTATGCCGCTCTAGGGACCGAGAATATGAGAGGGCGGATGGAGGAGGCTTTTGTTAGTATAACTTCGCTCACTCACCCCGGGGTGGCTCCGGACATAGAAAGGAGAGGGAGGATCTTAGCTTCCTCAAGCCCAAGTATCGTCTTTCGCTGGGGCGGAAAGGTAGCGTTCCAATAGTGGGAAAGGAAAAGGATGAAGAGAGACCACCAAGGCTGTACAATAGTCGATTAGAAGCGGTTAGGTAGATACCGAGTGGAATGAAAACCTACCGGTCGGGTAGTAGAAATCCACCCAATGCTCATCTTACTCCGTACCAAGCCGGTTACTTATTCTGCATTCAGGAAGCGAAATACACGGAGATGCCACCCCGGAGTTCGTATTTTTACGCAGTTATACCCCAGATACCCAGTAAGGAGTATAGTTTTGTTACCCTACATTGATGAATCCACTTTTCGCCACCCACATACCCCTGTCCGCCACCCCCTGTCGACCACCTTCCAATCTCGTCGTGCCCCACCCCACACTCTACACCACTGGTATCTCGTGCAATCGATAACTGTAGCACGTCGGAAGGGGACCCGCAATCCCTCCTCTTCATTTTCAAGCTTCCGCGGGTTGCAGGGCTTCGGATTTTCAGAAAGAACTAGTGATCAAGAAGAGGGGTTTCTCTCCATATCCAACATCAATTAAGCCTTAGGGCGGAGATTGTGAGTAAAGTGATCAATTTGGAGCTACTAGGTTAGCTCAATTGCCGAGGGAGCCGTTTTCAACGGCACTGCACTCCACGGAGCGGAAGTTTGAAGAGCAAAAGAGAGGGGACTCGAAAGCAGGAAAATGGCCAAGTCCAGAGTTGTTTCATCATCTACACCCCGATACCCTACACACGCAGACTTAGCATCTCATATTCCTACGTTATAGTCTCTTTCTCCATCTGGAAGCTCATCCCTTGGTTTTCCGGTACGCTCGCTCTAACACGGGTGCATAAGCTCCCCGAGTGGGTTGTATAATCAGTTGGCAGATGGCACACCTCCCAGGTGCACCGCTGAGGGGTTGGCAGAATTCTGGGGGGGGGGGGGGGTTCCACTCGCTCAGCTGTTTTCTTTCCTCCTGGCCATCATTCCACAGCGCGACACGCACGGGCCGGGGGAATTGGGACGAAATGGACTTCCTCGCTGCGGCGACCCAAGCGCTCGCTTGCTGCGGCGGTGCGTTTGCAAACACATCCGCTGACAGGCGCAACGCAGCTCACGGAAGGAAAGCTAGACTTTGGAACTTTGCGATGGACGTCGTGTTAGGGGCACCCAACCCACTTCGAAGAGGGTTGGTCCATTGTGTGGCTCTCCTAAGCAAGATGGAGAAGCTATCATACATACGCACCAAGTAAACGCAATCCAATCCGAATAAAGCACGAAATACCAACCGCATAACTTAGCCATAGGCCAAAATCAGAAATTTAGTCTGCTCAGACTATATAGTCCTACCGCTCCAACTGTGCGTTGGTTGGTGTGCTACTACTATATTACGACGATGACGGTAACGAAAAACCCATACGATGCCCTCCAAGGCAAGAAGAGGGTGATAAAATGGCCGCCGTGGTATAATGCCAGCAGTGGATGTTTCTGATAAACTCAATATGCCGGTGGATACACCGATAAACGCCTGTTTTGGCTTGCCACGGTTTCCTTCGACGGCTGAACAATCCGCTGTGGGAGAGAAAGCCAGACGGTAAACGAGGAGCGTGGGGAGCATGTTGTAGATGTGCCCATTGCTGGAGCGCAGTTACCGATTAGCAAGCCCCGAAAATCACGGGAAGCACGCGAGAGCGCCGCACAACCACCACCCATCTGCAATCATACCCTCACAGCCCTCCGCACAGCCCTCGACCACTCTCCATAGCCACTGTAGTAGCAACCGCTCGATGCGGTATGTACCGTGTCTGTCTCCCCATCTACTGCTACCGGTATTACTCCATCGAGTTTTTCAAAGCCTATCCTCCCACCTTTCAAGGAGACGATGGTATTTCATCTCGGGTCAATCCCTTTTCAATTCAAGTTATCGCGCTTTCAAATTATTCCCGGTTCAGTCTGGCAGGCCAATTCAATTCGTCAAATTTATCGAATTTGATACAACTTGGTTGTGAGGGTTGTTCAAATGAAGCTAGACTAGGTTATGCGTGATCAACCAGGAGGTTTGTGTTAGGCAACCTGGTAGGGTCTATTCTACAGGAGCTAAACCTGGCGTGGGCACCGCACAGTGCGAAGTATGATATGGTATGATTTTTGTTCACGTGCTTGGGGGAGGGGGTGGGGAGCGATGCCAAAATGATAAGAATTCGTTCTATTCTTTTTTTCCTCCATTGGAAATGTTCATCTGTAGGAAGAAAGAAGTTACTCAACATAATGTAGGTTATTCTACCTTCTCTGCTGACGCTCACTCAACCGACGAAGAAATTCCCTATACCTTTCTCCTGGGGTGCATGCTCTTAGTTTTCCGGCATAATAATAATATCCAACTATAGTCGGGTCGACGACCTGACCCGCATACGTGGCAGACGGGTCAAGTTGGAAGGCGTCGATTTCGCAAGTCCCGAAATCGGCATCCCATGAGTGGGTGCTTCAAGAACTACCCGCGCCTGCGCAAGTAAGTCCTGACCTAATGTTGAAAGACGGGCAGAACGAGCAAGAGGGAGGAGGGTGCTGCGAGGAGGGCTGGGAGGGGGTGGTGGTGGTAGGGATGTTTGCAGATAAATAGTAACCGTTGAGTGGGTCTAGGGGAATTAGAATAAATAACTCGCATTTGTCCATTTATTCCCGGGAAAGGCGCAAATATCCCATTCACTCCAACTAATAAACATTGATCAAGCCAGGCTCCTCCGCCTCCAGCATCATCCCCATCTATCTCCACCCTTTCCTCTCGCAATGCAACAGCCACTTGATACCTTTGTCCCTTGCTTCTTGCATCCAGGCTATGGGATATTCGACTGCCCTTGCTATTCTCCCACAAGTTCGCCAAATGTCGCCGACAATACATCCCTCATATGGCACAGCGAAGAAACACCCAGTTCGGATTCTGGTAGCCCCCAAACGATCTTTGGATCGGATGAGTCGATTAGTGGCTTCTGCACTGATGGTAGTTAACCTCTCCATATTCCACGCCCTCCATCCGATGGATTGTGTTCCTGGAGCACTCCTTGTCCCAACAAAAAAGGTCACTTTCTGACACAGCATAGACGAGGCATCTTCCCTCAGTTCGGATGAACGGGCCATGAATCTCCGACCTGTAGACGTCACTCATGGACATCGTCAGCCCAACGCGACCCAGCATAGTAACCAAGAGGCCGCGGACGACACTTCAATTGGTGGAGGAACTGTTACCCCGGTATACACTCCTCATTACAACCCTTCAACTATATCTCCTAATGGGTTAGTTTCCTGGGCTACGGTAAACTGGATTTCTGAAGATCTTGTGTGCTAATAGATTCTAGCACATCCGAGCTGATGAGGCATCATGCCCCGGAAAGGAGTGGCCCAAGTTCCCCTATCATAATGGTTTCAGCAAGAGTAAAAAAGGCGATGGGATCTTGTGAAAAGTAAGTTTTCTCACATTGCAAGCACTTATTCCGGATGGCTAAATGAGTGAATAGACAAGCACCTCGAGGGCCCGGTGGAGCTGGACGTGGGGTGACCAAGCACCCATGCTTATTGGGATGCGGAAAGGAATTTTCTAGAACAACGGACGAGAAGCGCCATCGTGAGACCTCTTCGGCTCACAGTAGGGGGGAGGTCCAAAAGTACTATCAGTGTGATCTATGCAAAACAAAGTTCAATCGCCGTGATAACTTAAATCAGCATAAGAAGAGAGGAACAAAGGGGTGTAAACAAGCAGTCGAGGAGATTGAACAAGCACTCGAGGAGCTTGAACAAGCGGTCAAGGAGCGGGAACGAGCTAAAGAATGGGAACAGGTTTCTCGCCTCTCGCAGTGGATTTTGGCATGTGCGGTCTCCTAGGGCTGGGCCGTTCCCTTGTTCTTGCTCACTTTGTTGCTGGTCATTCCGCGACGATTTCTTTTCTTCCTTTTCTTTTCTATTTTTTCCTCCTTTTTTTACTTTTTTTTTACTGCCTGTAACTTATCCGCTGGGTTGAGTGTACCAGGGATTTGATGGTGTCGGGGAAGGGTGGTACTAGCGGGCACTATGAGTAGTGGGTCGGTATTGAGAGGATTTCTTGTGCCGGGATTGTATCGAGGGTGGCATTCCACGGATTTTGTGACTGTAGCAATCAAATGCGAGTAACATGAAAAACTACGTTTCCCGATTTTGGTATTGGAATTGTCGAAAGAGGGTCTAGAGTTACTCCAAACACGTTAGTGACCCCTCGGGAAATAGTCTGGAAATTTTTGGACCCAACCCTTCTCCTCTCATAAGCCTTCGGATCCTCTGCATCCCCCTACGCTCTTGGCCAGTAACCTGCGAGAAATCTGCCCGGCGAGCCCTTTGGGTTTCGGGATAATTTAGTAAAAACCTTGTTCGCCGGTCATCACTGCCTGTCGATCAAATTCTGTGTTCAAAGGCACCATCTGAACTAGCATTCGCCCGGTTAGCGCGAAGCATCGCCCTCTCCCGGGTTCTCACCTACCACTCTCACTCAGGCCCCTAGCCGGCCGTTTTTGCCATCAGATCACTTTGCGTGACAGTCTATACTCCGCCTCAACCAGGAACTTGATTCTCCCTCCGGCTCTTACGAGCAATTCCTTCTACCATATACCATCTTCCACAGCGCCCAAGTAGGGACCGAGCTTTCTTCCGGATAGTGAGCTGATGCTGTCAGGCATGATATAAGGGGTGGCTGGTCTTCGTTTTCCGGAAATATTGTTTGCAGAATTTTTCCCACATGGACGGCGGGTGGACAAATCTCTAACAGATGATAGTGCATTTCGCAAGGTGGTCGGGGGGAGTGGTGGAGGCGAATAGTTATTATGCTGATTTAGCAGTAGGAACGGAACTGACTTGTCGGTGTGTATGAATTTTTGTGAGAATCTGGGCCATTTCAGATTCTAATACTCCATGCTGAAATTTTCTAGAGGGCTTTCTGCGCACAAAAAAACCGGCCCCGTATCAAGGGACAACAGCCCGGCCCTGCCGGAGGGGCGGCCCCTTCAGTCCTCGTTCCACTTGCACTCTGCACTCATCTGCTGCGCACGCAAGTGATCTGGGGCACTCGAGTATCTTACTGAGGAAGCGGGGGCTTAGATCGCCAAATATCACTATAGGAGGGCTGCTTGTGTTACCGGTGAAGGAGTGCGCAAAATTCCGCGCAGGGGTGCGGAAAATCTTAAACCGGAACACTAGGGAGATTTATTCTCCCAAGTTTGCGTGGTGGTTGGTGCCATTAACCCGCCTCTTGGCAATTCCCACCGTGAACCACAAGGTGTGTTACTTGGGCCCAAGGGCACCTAAGTTTAGGCCCAAATAGCTCGCCCAAAAATTAATGCTTTTAAGATATTTTTTCTATCCTCTAAACCGGGGTCGTGTTGGCTATCGAGGGATAGAGATGAAGCTAAAACAGCGGGTATTGTCGATGAGCCTTAGCAGTCTGAATTGGGGGCTCTTGCGGGTTTAAGGTGCACCTGTTAAACAATTCCCCCACCATTCGATAACTATTTATTTAAGCAGGATCAGATTGGCGAGCTCCTACCGATTCTAGAAGGTGACCCTCGGTAACCACCTGCAATTGCACGGAGTTGGCCCATCACTGTCTCACTTTTCCCCCTAAAAGAAACAAGCATCTATCCACCTCCCTCACTGGAACCGCGAGAGCTACTACATGCAGCCACAGGAATTGGGGTCTGTATAATTCGTGTTCATCTTTTAAAACCAATTGCAAACCAATTGTTCTCATTATAGGGGGTTTAGCGACAATCAGAATTTGGCACACTCTTCCGCGCTTGACGATGTGAAGTTAGAAAACTGAGGAAGGCCTCCCCAATTTTGCCCGTTCGATTTGTGTACGGTAACCTAGTAGTGTAAATTTGGGCTGAAATACTTGTAAGCGGATCCTGAGAGAGGCTCCATCATCGGCACCCCCGCCGACGGGCGCTATCTGAATCTGAGCCCCAGAAGTACTGAGAAGTTCTGAGACATATGTTCCAACATCGCCAAGAATTCGCCTGGAAACAGAGTATGGTAACCAAATCCGGCAATCTTAGACTTGCGGAAAAAATCGATAATATTTGATCCTAGGCTGGAACACTCGTGCAATGATTGAAGATTTGCTTTTCCTTTGTGCGCAGTGCTAGGTCAATCATTTCCGACAGCCCCGAGCGCCTCACTCCGCCCAGTACGGTTCGTGCCGGAGTCTCCACCCCTGGAGGGGGGGGGGGGTTTGAATAACTCTTTAAATTCACTATCTTCGCCAGCCTTGTAATCTCCGTATTCGGGGACTAAAACTCCTCGGAAGGATTAGCTTTATCCTGATACGGTATAAGATCTACCCACTGGACATGTTGGATCACTTTAATCGGTATTTTGCAATTCTGTTAACCTGCCAAGTACCACTTGGCCTGGGCTGGGGGGCTGATTTCCGAGGATAATCTGAATGATCAAATAGTGGACTCCAAGGCTTTTAGGGAAACCTTCTCTATTCGAAGATCCATCACTGCGGAGGCTAATTTGGCTCCTTTGCGTTCACGGGGGAGTTCTAAATAGTCGAATACCAGAATTATTACTCAAATTTAAATTTCGTAGTTTCGTCACAATGGTATAGCAGGGAATACTTAATTTAATAACCTCTACTTGAATCTGTTCCACCACCCGATTTCCCATCGATAGCCAAGAAACAATGGAAGAAGCGCGATAATATGAGCCACCGGCACGGGAGCAGGGCTGAGGATACACAAAAAGTAGAAAAAGATCACAGCCCAAAAGGAGGCTCTAGCGGACTCCAGTACATTTAGGGACTGTAGGCGGTGGGGCTTTGAGTCGCCCTCCTAAACTCAACTTTTACTATGGGAGGGATAGGGATAAATAATCCCCCTTCAGGATAACACCACCCAGTTATTTACAAGTTTTTCTCAGCTGAAAAAACCTTGGTTTTACACCTCGAATATCACATTCTACTTCATTTAACTGAATGCTCAACCCTGCCATTGTCTCTTGTCCTTTCCAACTTGGGCCAGCTTCTACGGACACGTCAGAGAGACCTCCCCGGTTATAGGACAGCTCCAATAGTACAGCTAAGGGCGAGTGCTCTGAGAGTCCCACCTGTCCATGTCTAACTCGCCCACCGAACCGTTCTTCCCAACCATCGAACATGTAAGCTCTTCCATCTCCTCCCACTCTCTCCAGTGCCAGTGACTTTCTCTTTTTTCATCTGTCTCCCGCCATCACCGATTTCCACCCCCACACAAGTAGGGCTCTGAGCAGAGGTTGGACGGCTGGTGCCTAGAGGTGAAATCGAGGCTTTGCCTATGGTGGCTGTCTGGTTCCCTCGACGTTCCCTCGACCGCCTAATAGTATTGAGCGTGGGTTCTGTGTTGTCAGTGCATGCTGACGGAGCCCGTCGAAAAGGGTACTCACTAACCTATCAACTCTCTCTCCGGGGCTGCTGCACTAAAACAGAACCCGAAGCACCTGTTTCTGCCAGGGCAATACCGCCCCCTCCCCCGAGAAATCACCGTCTGGCAAAGACAAGGAAAGAAAGAAAAAAAGACAGCAAAGACCACACACTAAGGAAAAAAAAGAAAAAAGGAAAGGAAGAAGGAAAGAAACCGAGTTCTTGTTTGTCACTATTCTCTCCATCCTCACTCGCAAGGAGCATTGCCAGTTGTCGACGCTAATACCCTGCAGACCAACAACCCCCAGTTCTATCTAATCGTTAGTGGATCCAACGCATTCTGGCTATCCCTCGCTCCCTCGCTCGTGGGTGCACCTCTTCATGGGTCTTCAGTCACTTGCTCACCGCGATGAGCAGCCCTTAATCAACGCCTGTGGGCGTACTGATTGCAAAGCAGGGGTATGCTTCGTATGCTTCGTATGCTTCGTGGCCCAATGAGCCCTCTCCGTATGGCCCAAATCTATCTACAGACCCGGCACCCCTGTAGGTGCGATAGGAAAGCCAGTTCCGCTTCCCCGTTGGGGTCGCCGATATCAATTGCCTGCGGAAAGAGAGACCTAGAACGCCTGTTGTCATATCTGCAGGCGTTCACATCGGATCATGCGATAGGGCTCAATAGGGCTCGAAGGCGTCGGAAGGCTACAAGACTTTTGAAGGACGCACCCTGCCGGAATTTCTTCCGATCAGCTCCAGGGCGTGTGTTGCCCCCGCCGGGGCCCATATTTAGCAATGGCGCGATGGGGGAGGGGGAGAGAGAGCGAGTGACGTCGTGTGATTCTTCACCGTACTTAGGAGGAAACAAGGCGGGTGACGAACAGGGGCATTGGATTGGCAAAGAAGGAATTCGTCAAAGAAGGGTAGCGAAATTATTGGTTACCGATCCCCTTTCGTCGCCCGCCCAGTTTCATCGTGGGTACGGTGAAGACTGCAAGCACAACAACTGTGGATAATAGCATTCCAGAGCTTCTATTCTATAGAGATGCAAAAATAAATCACTAGCCCTGCTACAATACCGAAAGACACTTCTAGTCCCTTTGTTGGGGATGTGCGCGCGATATCATTCGGGAACCTAATATATGTTCGAATACACCACATTAGTTTTTTAAAGGCCTTGTTTGTGCAAGGCAATTAGACAACTCACTCATTCTAGACCCTTTCCCCCACTTCTCATTTGCGCACATTTTCCCAATCTTAATATAGTCGTGGTTCTCCTCTGTCTCCATACTCCATCTCGATCGAACACAAAGCTTTTTCAATCCCTACCTTACATGCGTCCAGAGTTCCTGCAAAGGCCCAGATCATATCCCCATCTCGGCATATCTTCGATATGCACGCGTGAAATTCAGGAAAGAGTCTATGTTTCCGCCGGCTGAGCGGTCTTGGTGGGAGATGTCAT